TTGACCTCTCCGCCAACTTCATCCAAGAACTCCCTTCGGAGGCCCTGAGCAAACTCGCCTCCCTCAGAGTGCTGAAGCTCCACCGAAATGCCATCAACAAGGTCCAGGACAGCTACCTCTCGGGCCTCAAAGCCATAGAGCACCTCGACCTCTCCAACAACCACATCCAGACGTTCAATCCGGCCGCCTTCACAGACATGACCCACCTTCGGGACGTGGACCTCAGCGTCAACTACATCCAGAGCCTCCACCCTGACATGTTCTCCGCCACGAAGCTCTTAGAGAAGCTCAACATCAGCCACAACTACATATCGAGCATCGGCCACGAAGCTTTCGTTAACCTGAAGAAGCTCCGTATCCTCGACCTCACCAACAACTCTCTCACCGATCTGGGAGACGCTATGATCGACTTCCCGGACCTCCAGGCTCTCTTCCTCAGCGAAAACTACATCAACAGCCTGAAGAACTTGTCCTTCGCCGGCCTGCCCAGCCTCAGCGTCCTGCACTTCAAGAACAACGGCCTGCAGACCTTTGAGACGACGGCCTTCTACGGTCTGAGATCCCTCGTGTACCTCGACCTTCGAAACAACAATCTGGTGGAGCTCAATCCAGAGTCCTTCGTGGGCCTGACGTCGCTCCAGGAGATGCAGATCAGCAAGAACCAGATTTCCGTCGTGAAGGACTTCTCCTTCTCGGATCTCCCGGCGCTAAGGAGCCTAGAACTGCAGGATAACGTGATCACCGAGATCGGAGGACGCGCTTTCTATAACCTCCCGACCATGAAGTTCCTCAACCTCAGTCGCAATGGCCTTCAGGACGTTCCCGAAGACGCCCTCGGGAGGATTCCGTCGCTCGATGTCCTGGACCTGAGCTCGAACTTTATCCTGGAGATCAAGGATTCCTCCTTCTATCGCTTGGAGTGGCTCACCGTACTCATGGTAGGGGTCATTTGCACGCACGGTTTTGTTTTATTTAATGTATATCTATATCTATATCTACCTATGTATATAAATGCTTGTATACACACACACAGACACATACATATATACCTGTATATATATGTGTGTGTGTGTGTGTGTGTGACTACAGGATGCTCTGAATGAGAGAGAGAAAAAAGGGAGGGAGAGAGAGAGAGAGAGAGAGAGAGGGAGGGAGAGAGAGAGAGAAGATGGAGGGAGAGAGAGAGAGAGAAGAGGGAGGGAGAGAGAGGTACTTGAATCAAAACAAAAATCAGAAAGCCTTCCTGAACCCCGTTTTCTTTCGCTTCCAGATGCACGATAACGACCTCTGCCGGATGTCGCCCGGGGCCTTCGCCAGGCAGCGTGCCGGATGTGTAGGAACGAAACGCACTAACCAGCTGAAGAGACTCCACCTCCACGCCCTCGGGAACACCATCAAGGGCCTGTCGCTCCTGGATATGAGCGGTTAGTATGAGGAGGCGGTATGAGGAGTGTGAGGGTGTGAGGATGGCTTTCAGAATGGGGAATTCGCATAGGGAATGAGGGAGTGGGAAAAAATAGGAAGAATGAGTGAAATATCCATGAAAAGACGAAGTAAAATGGACGATAAAGCATACGTAGCATCTATTCTTGATTGCAAAGGAGAGTATAAGAGAGTATAATTTGCCGAAAATATTAGGCTATCCAGCACCCACGCACAAATAATTTGTCATTTACTAAGAACTGGATGGCAGCTTCAGTCTCTACTGGTAGACAAGAACCAGATACGCCTTTTAACTGTTTAGAAGAACCATTATCTTTAATTTTAAGTCTCTAACATCCCCTCTTTTATTACACAAGATATTACACTGACATGTAATTCGGAGAAAAACAAACATCCACACCCTTGTTATATAACCTCAACCCACCCCTCCACTGCAGGAAACCTCTTCCAATGGCATTTTCAAATACCCCTACATGCAGCCCCTCACAGAAGCCACTCTAGCATAACCCCTTTCCCGAGCAGGCAAACCCTCCCCCTCCTTCAACACCCACCCCCCTCCCCATGTAACCCTCAACTCTGCTTTTCTAACATACCCTTCTTCCCCTGCATATCTCCCCCCCCCCCCCCACTGCAACCCTTCGCCTAAACCCTCCTTCACCCCTCCCCCCCGTACGGAACCCCTCACTCACACCCTCCTCCCCACACCCCATTCACCCTCTCACCCACTTCTTACACCTTCCCCTTCCATTCCAGGCAACCCCTCACTCACACCCCATTCACCACCACCCTCCACACCCGTCATTCACCCCCCTCACCTCCCCCCCATTCACCCCTCACCTACTCCCCATTCACCCCCCTCTCACCCACACCCTCCACATACCTCATTCATCCCCTCACCCCTCACCCACATCCCCCATTCACCTCTCACCAACACCCCTCCTTTCTCACCCCATTCACCCCCTCACCCACACACCCCATTCACCCTCTCCCCCCCCCTCCACACACTCCATTCACCCCCTTCATCCATACCCCCATACCCCTCCTCCACACAACCTCTCTCACCCCCCTCCACACCCTCCACATCCCCCATTCACCCCTCACCAACACCCCCACACCCCCATTCACTCACCCCTACACCCCCTAACCCCTCCACATCCCCCTTTAACCTCTCACCAACTCACCCTCCCCTCCTCCACACCCTATTCACCCCCACACCCCCCTTCTCACCCCTCCCCTTCCATTCCAGGCAACCCCTTCCGCTGTGACTGCGAGATGGTGTGGCTCCGGGAGTACCTGGGAGAACCGCCCGAGCCAGGACGCGCCCAGAGAACCTCGATCTTGGGTGACTCCCTCAAGGGCGTTCCCGTCTGCGCCTCCCCGACGAGTACAGGGGCGTCCCCATCACGCAGGTGGGTAGGGAGCGGGGTGGGGTGGGTAGGAACGGGGTGGGGTAGGGGTAGGGTAGGGTGGGGGTGGGGGTGGGGTGGGTCATTTATAATTGCGATAATGAGGGTGATTATTGGTAATGGTAATTATGGGTAGGGGGGGAGGGGGTCGCTTGTAATGATTGCGATAATGTAAGTAATTATTGGTAAATTGGTAATGGTAATGAGGATAATTATGGGTAATGATAATGATGATTGGTGTGTGTAATGGCGGTTAGGGTAATGATAATATCAAGTTAACAATGGTTGCGATAATGAGTGTAATTATTGGTTGTAATAAATGATCATTGTAGTAATTATGGCGGTTGGGATAATGATGATATCAGATTAACAAAAATGATTGTAATAACGATAATGATACTAATTTTACTGGAAATAATCGTAATGATAACAATTATATTAATGATAATTAGGATTATTATAATAATGATGATGATATTAATGGTAATGACATTCTCCCCTTTATTGTATAAATTATAAGGTAAATGCCCAAAAAAACGCAAAGAATTTAGTAAATATGAAAAAAGAAAAAGGAGAAAGAGGAAGAAATCATAATAGAAGGAAGAAATAGAATAAAAAGAAAAGGAAGGAAGAACAAAGTGGAAAATCAAAAGGAAAAGAAAGGAAAAAAATAAAAACAACGAAAAAAAGAAGAAAAAAAAAAAAAAAAAAAGAAAAAAAAAAAAAAAAAAAAAAAAAAAAAAAAAAAAGACTAAATGAAAAAAAAAAAAAAAAAAAGAAAAGAAAGAGAAGCAAAAAAAAAAAAAAAAAAAGAAAAAAGAAAAAAGACTAAAAAAGAAAAAAGACTAAATGAATAAAATAAAGAAAAAAACTAAATGAATAAAAAAACAGAATAAAAAAAGAGAAAAAAAGACAAAAAAAAAAAAAAAACACTAGAAAAAAAGAAAGAAAGAAAGAAAGAAAAAAACGCGCCAAGCCTTCTCCAACGCCCTTAACCCTTTCCTTCCCGCCGCAGGTCCCCGTGACAGCGTTCCTGTGCGGAGGGCGCCGATCTCCTGACGAAGTGGACGACATCTGTGTGCCGCGCTTCCTGGACCCCCTGCTCTTCACGGGGGGTAGTCCGGGTTAGTGGGGGTGCAGGTGGGATGGGGTGGGAGTGGGGTTGGGTTGGGGTGGGGGAGAGGGAGTGGGAGTGGGGGCTCGGAGGTGGGAGTGGGGGTTGGGGTGGGAGTGGGAGTGGGAGAGGGAGTATGGGAGTGGGGGCGATGGGGGAGAGTGGGGGTGGGGCCGGACGGTGGAGAGAGGGAGTGGGGGTGAACGCGGGACGGGGGAGAGGAGTGGGTGTGGGAATGGGAGTAGGGGTGGAGGTAGGAGTGGGAATGGGGATCGGAGTGGAAGGGGAAGTGGGAATGAGAGTAGGGGGTAGAGGTGGGAATGGAAGGGGGTAAAAGGAAAGGAAGCTTCAGTAGGGGGTGGGGTAAGTGGAAGGGGAGGGTTCTGTGGGAGGGCAGGTGGAGGAGGAGGTCTGTTGGGGTTGGGGTAAGGAGAAAGGGAGGGTTCTGTAGGGAGGTTAAGAGAAAGGGAGAGATTCTATGGAGGGAGGGGTGGTGGAGCAGGTTCCGTGGGGGTTGGGGCAAGGAGAAGAGGAGGGTTTTTAGTGGGGGGGGTTGAGGTAAGAGGAAGAGGGGGGGAGGGTTCTGTAGGGAAGCCAGAAGAGTTAAAAGTGGTCGGAAGAATATTTCGGTGGTGGCATCGAGTGGGAAAGAGAGGAGAGAGGGGAAGGAAAATAGAGGATTTTGTGAGGGGTGGGGGCGAGAGGGAAAGGGGAAGTGGGGAGGGGTATGTGGTGATGTAAAAGGCGTTAGGAAAGAGCTAGGAAGACGGTTTTAGAGATGTGAGTTGAGTTAAGGGGGTGATGTCAATCAGGAGGGGGGGGGGGTTATATGATTGGGGGTGTTACGTGGGGAGGTGCAGGTCGATGGGGGTGAGGGGGGAAAATGTGGAAGGAGGGTGGAGGGTGAGAAGAGGGTTCTCTGGGAGGGGGGGGGGGAAGATATGGAGTTGGGGTAGGGGGGAGGAGGAGGACCATTTCGGGAGGGGAAAGGGGAGTAGAAAGAAGGGAAGAGTATGTGTGCGTAAGTGTGTACGTGTTTCACATGATTTAGAGTACACTGGAGGATTTTCTTCTTGGCTAAACGACCGCCAACAAGGTCATCAAAGGAGTATTGCACCGTAATGTATGCTTGTATGAGGTAAATAGCTAGAGAGAGAGAGAGAGAGAGAGAGAGAGAGAGAGAGAGGGAGAGGAGAGAGAGAGAGAGAGAGAGAGAGAGAGAGAGAAGAGAGAGAGAGAGAGAGAGAGAGAGAGAGAGAGAGAGGGAGAGGGAGAGGGAGAAGAGAGAGAGAGAGAGAGAGAGAGAGAGAGAGAGAGAGAGAGAGAGAGAAGAAAGAAATAAAGAGCGAGAGAGAGAGAGAGAGAGAGAGAGAGACAAACAAACAAACAGAGACAAAAAATAAATAACCCACACTCAACCCCTTCCCACCCGCCCCACAGGAAGCCTCGACCCGGGGACCATCAACACCCTCCTCCACCTCACCAACCTCTCCGACGCCATCCCCAGGCGGACACGGGGCCCTCCTACCTCGACTACAGCAACCCCATCCACGTCCCCAGCGCCCCGGGCCTCGTGGCTCTCTCCTCCGTCATCGAGGAGACGACGTCCCCCTCGTCAGCCACGTCGACTGATGCGTCCGCTCCGACAGCCCCCACCACGGCCGCGGTTTCTGCTGCCGAAGGGGGCGTGGCGACCGTGGCTCCTACGGTCTCGCAGGTGGTGATGGGGGAGGGAGAGATGGAGAGAGGGAGGGAGAAAGAGAGAGAAGGGGAGAAAGAGAGAGAAGGGGAGAGAAGGAGAGAAGAGAAAGGAGAGGGAGAGAGAGAGAAGGGGAGAAAAGAGAGAGAGAGAGAGGAGAGAGAGAGAGAGAGAGAGAGAGAGAAGAGAGAGAGAGAGAGAGAGAGAGAGAGAGAGAGAGAGAGAGAGAGGGGGGGGGGAGGGAGGGAGAGAGAGAGAACCAGAGAGAGGGAGAGGTAAAGGGAGATAGAGAGAGAGACTATACATTTTGACAGATTGATATATAAACTGATAATCATTAATAAGTGGAAAACACAAATATATAAGTATCATACAAAGAAATGAATATCGTCTTGCAGAAATAAATCCCTTTTATCACACAGTCATAAAAGCAACACTAAACATTGCAGGCCGTGCGCAGCAACCAGAGCGAACAGCTGTTGGCCTCATCCAACATCCACACAGTGACGGGTGACACGCCCACCATCTACGCCGGCTCAGCTGGTCACACCGACGGCGACAAGCAGCAGCAGCAGCAGCAGCAGCAATCCGGTCTCTTCAGCGGGATCAAGCTGCCCACCTTGCCCAACCTGATCGAGTCCATCAGCAACCTCAACCTGCCTCAACTCGGCCTCAACGTCAACTGGGGAAACATCCCCATCATCGGACGCCAGGACACGGGCCTCGTGGGCAAGTCGGGGACCCTGGGCGCGGGCAAGCCGATGAAGGGCCCGGACACCAGCGATCCCATCTGGGTCGATGGGCCCTCCAGCCCCCATCCTCTGTTCCCGAACCCTCCCTCGCCCCTGCCGCCCAAGGATCTGCCTCCTCCCTTACTCCCCGAGAAGAATCCTTCGCGAGGCCCGCACCCTGTGTCTGGCCCCGGGGCGTCCTTCGTCTTCCCGACGAGTCCAGGAGAGCGTCTGCGTCCCGGCGTTCCTGGCGTGGTCGTTCCCGTCACTCGACCCTCGAACATCTGGGCTACAAGACCACAGCCTGGACCTCAGCCCGGACGCCAGCCCGGACGCCAGCCCGGACGCCCCAAGCCGGGGAGCGCCCAAGGCCCCGGCTCAAGCCAGCAGAAAAGGCCGCATCCGGTGGGCTTCGGGCTTGGCGGCCCTATCCTTCCGTCCGTCACGTACGTGGGCCCTGGACCGAATTCAGGGACACCTTTCCTGCCGGGACTTTCCATCAAGCAGCAGGGTCGTCCTCTCCCTGTGAGGCCCGGCGCCCAGAACCAGGGACGCGATCCTGTCCCCTTGACCCCACCCCCTGTCTCCTCGGGGTCTTCCCCACCCGCGCAGGGCTCAGGGACCACGTGGGGAGGGAACCTCTGGTCTCAGCCTGAGGTCATAAATCCCGATTCTGGGGTTTCCCTCTACCAGCCCAGGGAGCCCTTCCAGCCCTACCAGCCCCACGACCCCAATCACCCCATCACGGTCGTCGACGCACCCAACATGTCGTCTGGCAAGGGGGAATCCTCTGGCATGCCCACGTCGCCCCTCATGCCCATGGGTCCTCCAGTCGCCACGTCGCCATCACCACCAGACATGTCGCCTTCCGAGACACAGATGGTGGCAGACGGAGGATATCGCGGTCCAGACGCTGAGGACACAATGTCTGGAGGGCCGCAGGCAGGCTTTCCCCCGGAAGGAAACGTAAATGTGGACTCCAGACTGCCCGACAGCTTCCCACCGTTCTCAGATAGTTCCGGAAGAGGGAAAGGCAGTCAGTCAGACAGCCACGAGGGCTTCCAAATACCGGTCAGTCAACAGGATCAGCAAATACCAGTGAGTAATGAGGGCCAGCCAATACCAATCAGCAGCCATGGCCAACATACGCCAGAGATTCACGAGGGCCAGCAAATCCCTGTCCATCACGAGGGACAGCCAACACCAGGCAACCACCAAGGCCAGCAAAAGCCAACCAGTCATCCTGACCAACAAGTCCTTTTCAGTCATCAGGGACAACAAGAGCCAACTAGTCACCATGGGCAACAAAACCCAGACAGTCACCAAGGTCAACAAACATTATATAATAAAGATCAGCATATACCACCTCAACAAAGTCCAGAAAATCGCAACGAACAGGACAAAATACCAGAAGAAAAGCCGAACATCCCTGCGCCTCCCACGCAGACAACAGAGACTCAGCCAAGACCCGCGAGACCGACCGACATCTTACCAAGCTCTCAGGGACCAGTTCCTCCTAAGGAATCCCTGGACGACCTCATCAACCTCCTGTACGCCGCTGAGGCCGAGGTCCAACACCAGATGCAGGGCACGCAAGCCACTACGCCCTCCATCCACACGCCAGATGAAGCGCTACCGGTCAACCCGTCCAGTTCAGTTTCATCCGACTCCGCAGCCAGCGCAAGTGTGCCTGAGGTCGGGGTCTCCTTCAGGCCAGAGATAACACGCGGTCCTCCAGACACGGTCTCCTCCACAACCCTGAGATCTACAACTTCGACCACGAGCAGAAGCACATCCACATCCACGACGACTCGCACCACAACAACAAGGACAACCAGCACGACGCCTGCGACAACCACTCCAGCACGAGAGTCCAGCAACAGACAGGACATCCCACCAGACATGGTTCCTCCTCAGCTAGGCAAGGGAGTGACGGTCCTCCAGGAACGGCCACCCGATTTCCACAAGGAATCTGCCGAGCCCGACCAGGTCCCTCCGGCTCGACATCCCGAGGACCATCCACAGCCCGGGCGATTCCCACCCGACGGAGAGAGGGAACCAGGCCACCGCCCTCCGGAATCCGAAACCACGAACCTCCCCCCGTCGGTAACCAACCCTCCCTTCACCGACAGCATTCCGACGGGCTCCCAGACGGCCTCGAGATACAGGCCGGGCGTCGTCCTCCCCGTCGACAAGTCAGGTGAGCCGCTACCCGGTGTCCGAGCCCGCGTGCCGCCCAACAACACCCAGATCAGCCCCAGCAGGAGCATCGGGCGCGGAGGCGTCCCGACGATCGAGCGCGTAGAGCAGCCGAGCCACCGACAACACAGCGACAAAACGGCCGTCGTCCAGGGCGTCGACCTGCCGGAGGAGAGCGTCAGCGGCGTGCCTGAGGGGGAGCACCGGCCGCCCATACCGGACACGGAATTCGAGACGAGCGAAGTGAACGCAATTGACTGGTATTACAGCAATTACTTCAGGGAATATGACCCTTATGCTAACCTTCCCGTAGGAGGAAATGAGCCTCCCAGTGGTGCATCGACAGCGAGTGTTATGTATAGCACATTAATCCTCTGTGTGATTACACTATTTTATAACCAAGGTCATTTATTGTGAAATGACATGCTAACTAATTAGGAAAATTGTTACGTTATGTCTTTTCTATTGTTGATAATTTATATTCAAATTAATATATATTTTTGTTACAACAAATGCATAGCATTATTTTGCGCTTCTCATGTGTCTAACAATGATTACGTAAGTAAAATAAATCCAGTGTAACAAAACGAAAACGCTACAAATTGTAGTTCAGTATTATTACACTGAATTTTGAAGAAAAAAAAATCTCGTATTTTAAGATTCACAAAATTTACATGATTTATTACCAGAAATTTTAATGAATTATGAATTGTGAATTCTGATTGCACATTTACTCGTAGAATATTACCAAAAGCCATATTATCTTTTCCAAAATAAGTAGAGTCTTGGCACTTATAGTTTTACAACAAGAACATGCTATACAACATCTGTAAGAAAAAAAAAATACTTGTGAACAATATCACATTTAAAACGTGTTTATATGTATTTAGATGTTAGGTCATGTAAGTTACAACCCTATCTTTTCCTACTTGTGTATTATAAACCACTGAAATATATACAGATAAGTGAAATATGCTGCAGTTTGAATATAAAATGCCTCTTACATCGTATCAGCTTTGCGGTTCGTTTTTGAAAATACAAGAATATATGATTTTCAGAAAAGGGAAACTGTCGATATATGTATTTTCCTTACGTCAGTGCTCAAAAGAAATTAAAAACAAGTATACGTTGTTATAAATATACGTATACATACATACATACATACACACACACACACACACACACACACACACACACACACACACACACACACACACACACACATATATATATATATATATATATATATATATATATATATATATATATATATATATATGTATGGTAGAAAAAGACCCACAATGCACAAACTAGATTTATTGTAGGTTTTCCTACCACAGTATATATACATATATACATATATATATATATATATATATATATATATATATATATATATATATATATATATATATATATATACACACACACACACATAATGAATATGTGCATATACATACCGAGGGCTCTATATTCTTGCACATATATGTGTAAGTACAGGTATATGTCTCTCCTTCACTGTCTGTCTGTCCGTCCGTCTGTCTGTCTGTGTCAGAGACAGATTTTAGCGATAGAATAAGTTAGAAAATAGGCAGTAGCTTGTCTAGAATCACTTAAAAGATTAAAAAAAAAAAAATAATAATAATAATAACAATAATACTCGCGTGGATATTCTGAATTTTCAAAGCTAACGGGACGACTGAAGGGGTTCTATGAGCACGATGCCCAAGCACAAAAGAGGAGGAAATATAACCCGCCTCTCGCATTCTCTTACCATTCCCTTTCGAAAAAGAAAGATTGAGAAAGAGAGGAGAGGAAAAAAACGATAATAAAAGATATAAAACAGCCGGAAAAAAACGATAATAAAAGAGATAAAACAGCCGAAAAAACGATAATAAAAGAGATAAAACAGCCGAAAAAACGATAATAAAAGAGATAAAACACATCCGAAGAAGAAGACAAAATAAAAAGATAAAAAAAAAACAAAAACAAAAAAAATACAGCTAGAGTCCTCCATGTCTCTTAAAGTGGAATGAAAATAGTCCCGGTCGCTAAAAAGTGCCGGATCCGCTCTCCGCGAGGCTCTGAGATGGACTCGCTCGAAGGTCCTGCTGCCAGTTGGCGTCTAGACTCCGAAGAGGAAGGACCTATCACCTCTCATGTTCCTCCGAGTGCTTGTGTGACGTTCCCAAAAGACGAGAAAATCAAACCAAAAGACACCGTACAGATATATTAAAAATCATTTTTAAACTCGAAGAAATCTGTGTATAAACAAAAGGAAAATGTGCAAGATGGGAAGCGCTCAGTGCAAGGTCGAGTTTCTGAGACTGACGTGACTGAAGGGCGAGAAACAATGGCTGGAAAACACGTACCAATAAGCCTGAGACCGGAGGACGAGTACCACCACCACACGGCCTGCCAGCATCATGCGGCCGTGGTATCTGGTAAGGTTCTAAGGTTCCTCGGTCCCGGATTCTGTCTTCCTGTCCGCGCCGGCTGCCGGTCGCCCTCTTGGGTTTATTTCTCAAAATAAAATAAATGAAATAAAATAGAATAAATAAATAAATAAATAAGCAAAACAAAAAAAATGAAAATGAAATAAAATAAAAAATAAATAAACAGACAAGTGAAAAATAAATAAACAAAATAAATTATATATATACACATTTATACACACATACATAAATATATGTCTGTGTGTGTATATTGATATACGTACATATACTTTTTTTATATATGAATGTCTTTTTTTCTATTTTATTTGTATTTGTCTCTCGTATTCGTGAAAGGTACCTTTAACTATTCAAGAATATCAACAGAAACTTTTTTTCGTTCGCGGCAAAGGTACACAGCTGATGATACTGATGGGTCAAGGTACGCCTTGGTACGATCTGCGCTCGCGCTCTCTCTTTCTTTCTTTCTTTATCTCTGTCTCTGTCTCTTTCTCTCTCTCTCTCTCTCTCATTTTCTCTCCCTCTCTCTCTCTCTCTCTCACTTTTCTTTCTCTCTTTCCTTCTCTCTCTCTCTCTTCTCTCTCTCTCTCTCTCCTCTTTCTTTTCTCTCTCTCTCTTCTTTCTCTCTCTCTCTCTTCTTTTCTTCTCTCTCTCTCTCTTCTTTCTCTCTCTCTCTCTTTCTTCTCTCTCCTCTTCTTCTTTCTTTTCTCTCTCTCTCTCTCTTCTTTTCTCTCTCTCTCTCTCTCTCCTCTCTCTCTCTCTCTCTCTCTCTTTCTCTCTCTCTCTCTCTCGTTTTCTCTCTCTCTCTCTCTTTCTCTCTCTCTGTCTCCTTTTCTCTCTCTCTGTCTCCTTTTCTCTCTCTCTGTCTCCTTTTCTCTCTCTCTCTCTCTTTCTTTTTATTTGCATTTCTCTCTATCTCTCTCTCTCTCTCTCGTGCTCTCCTTCTGTCTACTCTCTTTTACCCAGTTTTCGCTGCTTTTGGATAAAGCTCTGTATCTACTCCGACAACCAATATTGATGTTGATTCCGGCTCTTATAATACACGAAGCTAACAGCCCCTTTCACCATATATATTTACCTGTATTAGTCCCATTATATTACGACTATGATAACAGCTGACCGATTAAGCGATACACCAATGATATTCTACAATCAAAAGATCCGTACAATCAAATGTAACATCGAAACAACACAGGATATACCCAGAAGGATGTTTCCCAACGTATTTAGGAAACTGCAATCTTTTGAAAGGCGAGAAAAGAGAGGTGAAGGTGTTACTTCCTCCAAGAACGTCTACAGCTATGGCGCAGATTACGTGACTTGCGCAGGAAGTGAAAACAATGACGATTAAGAAACAGCTGAAGGTCTGAGTGCGTAAAAAAAAAAAAAAAGATACACAGCCAAAAGAAAGAGACTTAGGACGTACATACTCAAAAAAAAAAGATTGTTTTAAAC